AGGGCTAATTGAAAAAATACATGTACTAGTTACCATGGTGCCCTGCACATATTAAGCACTCACTAAGTGTTAGCTACTCCTATTATTGCCATAGTTGTTTTTGATAAACATCACAGTTTGAATGGCCAAGTGATAAGATGAGAAGGATACAGAATAGAAGTTTTTAATCCTTCTTTGGAATTCTTCAATCTCTTCTAGAACCAACTACTCTAATATTTGCTATCTCAAGCCACTAAAATTATGATAAGAAAAAGCAGCTCATGATCACACATCAGGAGCTGTGATATACTCAACAGCAAGAACACACATTCTTAGGTTGAAGTAACATCACAAGACTACCAAGTCTGAAGCAGTCCCTTACTTTTGCTGGGCCTCTCTATCCTCATTTTTAAAACAGACTCTTGTCTGCCTATGCATTTCATAGCAATGGGTGGTCAGATGAAATAAGAGATATGAACACATTTGATCAACTGTAAAGAACTCTGGATAGTTTCAGATAAAGCACGGGAGGGGAAATATCACAGTATATTATTCTATCATTGATCAATGTTTTTCAACAAATATATTTTGAGTGCTTATTATGGACCTGGAATTCTGCCAGATGATAGGATAACAGCAACAAAAATGGGCAATGAACTCAGGACGCACGCTTATCAATCAGCCACTGTTAGGATTTGATAGAGAATGACAGAGGCTGGGATCACCGGGAAAATGAAGATCTTTGGAGAGAAGCAGAGAAGGTCAGCAACGACTTTATGAAAAAGGTGCTGTTAGAGCTGACACTGTAGCATCAGCAAGCAGAAGAAACAGTAAAAACAAAAGAAGAAAGATGTGAAAGCTGACACATTTGTGGATGAGGTGAAAGGAAAATGATTAAAATCAAGGTCAGAGAGGCAAGGAGAAGACGGATCCTGGTTTGTCTATAGATAATAGAGTGTTTGAATTTTAACTCATACAAATGGAAAGGAGCAGGTTTTATATAATATAAACAGCAGGTTAAATTTGCATTTATAACAATATCTGTCAGTAACATGAACTGTAATCAGGGAGGCAACTTGGCTTATTGTCAGACAAGTAGGTGCTAACTAGCTAATGAAAATACACACACACTCACACACACACACACACATATACATATACCCCGTTTGTTTTATTATCCTTAAAATACCTCCCTGTCTACTTAACGAAGCTGTTAAACTAAACAAAACCATCTTGAAGTTATATGACTGAGTTTTATAAGATGAAAAACACTGTATAAGAGGTGCAATAATTGTTGTTATTTTGTTTTGCAATCTGACCTTCTGGACAATCAATTCAGCTACAACAGCTAGAGGAGTTCAATAAATTGCGTCATAATCTACATCTGCTGTTACAGGACTTTCAAAATCGCCATAGGAGCCCTGCTGTGCTTCCTCATTTTCATGAGTTAAATCCAATAGGAAGGAAATAAACATAACTGATAGAACTATTAAGTGAAATCCACATTTAATTATTCAGCCAAGCACTCAAACAAACACACAATTCATAAGGCTGATATAAGTACAAAGGAATATTTCCCCCTGGATTTGTCCGGTCATTTCTAATTGCTGTGGGTGATAGATGCATGAGATCCATGAAAAGAATTAGGTGTCATAACTACTTCTGGGGTGGAAACAACAATACAATAAAAACTATGTGTATCTTTAGACTTATTTTATGGGTTAAATAGCTACAGAAATACAAGAGAAATTTGATTTAGAAAAGTGATATTGATCAATACCTAACACAGACACCATACAAATAGTAGGCCATCAATAAACTCCAACATGGAAAGAAACAGAGTCACCAGAATCATCTAACCCTCCCTAATTACTGTGCTTGGGCACGTAAAATGTTAGTTCAAAAGTATATGGAAATATTTGCTGAAAAGGGGCTTTATTTGTCCAGGTAGCTAATAACTCTTCTAAATTTTAGATGAACAATATATTCTTTCAATACAGCATTGTTAACTGAATTTGTCATTCAGAAAGTAGGTTAACAATTATCTTTCTTTGGGCACGGTTATTAGCTATATAGGTGTTGTATCCATGCTGAGTAGACTATTCCAGCACAGGAGGTGAAGGACTCTTCATCTCTCATTGTCTTCCATCGCCCTCATATGGTACCGTCTAGTTGCAGGAACAAAAGCTCAGGGCTCTCACTGATTTTGCATTCTGGTGAGTTGTATAATTATTTTATTATATATTCAATGTATATATTTTATTATATATTACAATGTAACAATAATAGAAATAAAGAGCACAATAAATGCAATGCACTTGAATCATCCTCAAAATATTCCCCATGTCTAGTCCATGGAAAATTTATCTTTCATGAAACTGGTGCCTGGTGCCAAACAGGTTGAGGACTGTTGGTCCAGTAGATTAATTTATTAAATGTTCTTGTAAAATCACACAGTGATGATGTGCTAAAACACAAAGAATTATAGATTTGAAGTCAGAAAACCCACCATATAGATTACTACTAGTAGTTGGCTGTACAATTCTTATACTACTTAGGCTCTGCGAATCAGCGTCTCATCTTATCTAAGTAGTACTCTTATAATGAAGACAAATGAAATCATATTTGAGAAAGTGCTTAGTAAAGCAAAAAACATAATCCAAGTTTAAGGTATCTGAGTTTTCATTATTGTTAATATCTTTTAAAAATTGACAGGGAACTATTCTTCATTTTCCAATGAGTAAATTAAAGCACAGAAAACTTAAATAATTTTTTAAAGAAATATTGCTAGAAATATGAGTCAGATCTTATTGTCCAGTTGCAAATCTTCCCTCCTCCATTCCCTTTATTTTATGTTGTTATTCTGTCAACAAACATTAGAGTTTGGGGGTGATCATGTAATTCATCATCCAAAATTAATGCAAAATGAAAAGCATCCTTAATAAGTACACTAGAAAAAAAGGAGGTGAATGCCAGGACTTTCCTGGCAACTCAAGACATAGGGGTACCCTAAATAGTATGCCCTGAAAATCAAGTAATAAATAAGAAACAGCCTTTATTCCCAAAGCCTACTGGAAAAAATTAAGCAAAAATAGGCAAAGAAAGTAATGCAGAGTTGTAAAAGCTGAAATAGGTACATGAAGATTGTTATTAAATTTGAGAAACAAGTACTTTAATTATTCTTTAGGGTCTAAGAAACACTTAAAAGGAGAAAATGATCTCTGTACTGAAATTTAAGGGCTGAAGTATACTGAGAGAAAAGTAGTAAAAAGCATCTAAATCAACAGAAAAAGTGTCTTTTAAAAGTCTATTGTATGCAGGGAATGATAAGTATTTTGGTGTGAGTAGAGTATAGGTTCATATGGTTGAGTAGGGGGAAAGGAGTTTGGAGAGGTGGAAAGAGACTGATCCTGGGCCTTGATGCTTTTGGTAAAGAGATCTGCTTAATCCTAGGGGCTATTGTTGGATTTTTAAGCAGGGAAGCAACATAATCAAATCTGTATTGATATGTTCCCACTTCCATTATCCCAGCACAAAAGCCCTAAATCTAGTGGGTTCACCTGCTGAAATAAATCAATGTTTTTTAATAACTTCTAACCATCTCAGCTTTAATGAATCAGCCATACAAAATGTTAAAAAAAAAATCAGTAAGACCAAAACAAACAACAAAAAAACAAAATTCCATCAACTAAAGCCAGAAAAGTGTGCTGTCGGAAAATGAAAGACAAGACCCCCTGAGAAAAATAATATGTTCAGGCCTGACATCAGAGAACATGAGAATCTAAAATTATAATAAGAAGGACACTCAAAAGAGACCAACGTCATCCCAATTCAGAACAATCCTTTGACTTAGTTCAAAAACAAAATTTAATCCTCCGCAGAAATAAAAACATCCCCATGCTGACCCTTTAAATTTCCATTATTTAAGTCTGGCAAAAATATGAGGTCACCATTATGGAAATATAATAAAGCAGACTACCCTAAGTAAGAAAGTACTGAAATAACAATAGATTTAGACTTGCAAGGACTTCAAATATTAAAATTATCAGGCACATAAAATAACTGTATGAAATGTCTAAGTAATTTAGAAAACACAAGAAGATAGTAACAAATGTCAAGAAATCTACTCTCCAAGAGTGAGAACGTGAACAGATCTGACTCATTAATAGATGGGGAAGATAAAAATTTAGTGAAAGTAGAGAAGATTTGAAAAACATAACTAACAAACTTGACCCAATTAATACAGTCAAAAATTTACATCCAGGATTAGAGAACACACATTTTGCTCAGGCAACCAAGAAATATTGATAAAATACTGACCACATTTTACATTAAAAAAATTTCAGAAACTAGTTACATAATGTTTTGGGACATTATTTTATTAAATTAGAAATAAGTAATAGAAAAAAAATTTTTTGGAAATTAAAATATACATTTCTAAGTACTCCTGGCTCAAACAAATCATAAATCTTTATAAATAGATGGATTTGAATGTCTATTAAAATATTGCATGTCAAATGTCATATAATGCCAATGTACCTAAAGTATTTTGAGAGAAATTAACATTAAGAGTAATATAAAAGAAAATGGCTTAACTCAATGAGTTGTATCCATCTTAAGCAATTACAAAAAGAACAAGATTAGACCCAAAATATAGAAAAAGAAACATGATAAGAATAACAGCAGGATCATAAAATTAAAAGAAAAATAACAGTAAGAAAAAAGGCAAAAGAGATGGAAGGAATAGAAAATGACTTATGCCAGGGATGCAAAGCCAGTTTAACTCTCACATCTCAATCAATGTAATTAATCACATAAATAGAATAAGGAAGAAAAATTCTATGATCCTTTCAATAGACAGAGGTGAGAAAAAGAAGCTATTCATTATCAACAACAAAAACAACCACAGAAAAATTACCTGATGGTAAATTTTGCAGAAGTTTTTCAAAATTAATTATTCTTAATGTGAAATACTTAAGGGAAAAAACCATAAGAGTATATTGAAAGATATTAGAGATCCCGTGCTCGTTTTGGCAGCACGTACACTAAAATTGGAATGATACAGAGAAGATTAGCATGGCCCTGGGCAAGGATGATATACAAATTTGTGAAGCGTCCCATATTTTTCTTTGGAGAAATAGAACAAAATAAAGATATTAGAGATCTAAATACATGCAAATGCAGTCCATATTTATTAACAGGAAGACTCAAAATCAGGGGAAATCAATCTTCCTAAATTATATGTTCAAATATTCCAGTGATGAAACCAGTAGTAACTTTTCAAGTCCACCTAAAATGCACATGCAATGTCATTTGCAGCAATGTAGATGGAACTGGAGACCATCATCCTAAGTGAAGTATCTCGAGAATGGAAAACCAAACAACAGCTTCTCATTAAGTGGGAGCTAATAGATTAAGTACACACATGGGCACAAAGGGATGTAAAGGACATGAGAAGGGAGGAGACTAAGAGGGTGGGTAGAGATAAAAACTTAAACTATTGGGTATAACGAACACTATTCTGGTGATGGGCACACCAAAAATGCTGCCTTAAGAACTGCTCAAGATATGCATGTAATAAAAACACTTGTACCCTCTTAATTATTATTTTGAAATTAAAAAATTTATAAAGGAAAAAAATAAAATGATTTCAGTTCAAAAAAATAATAAAATAAAAAGTAAAACTGAAATATAGCCAAGACATTCTTAAAGAAAAAATAAAGAATAATTTGATCTAATAAATAACTTACAAAAATATGGATTTGGCACAAAGATAAAGAAGGAGACCAATGAAACAGAACAGAGAACACAAAAATATACTTATACAATATAAAAATATGATACAGGATGGAGTGAGTACCACAGATAGAGAGGGGAAGGAGAAAGGAATGCTAGTTAGCAAATAGCACTACGACAATTATTTATCTAGGAGAAAGAACACTAAAAAATCAACACCAGACATATAAAATAGTTAAATATAAAAAAGAAAATTATGGTTTTCTCTCTTTATAGTATTGGGGGTAGAAAAATATTACTTAAACAAGACAGAGTCAACTTCACAATCAATACTTTTGATTCTATTAAAGTCAAAAGCTCAGTCGACAAAGTAGTAGAAGATATCTCCAACACCTATGATCAAAAATAGACCAGTATTCAGAAAATATGAAGAACTGCAACAAATCAATAAAAAAAAATGCAATATTGATCTAGGCAAATGCATTAAACCACCGTTGTGTGTAAGCAGAAACATAAACGTTCAATAAACATGTTAAAAATACTTTAAAATATTCTTCATCCAGAAAATGTAGAAAATCCAGAAAAGTAAGAGTCCAAGACATTTTTGCATCTGATAAATGGGGCAAAAAATAATATGTCTGATAAAATTTTGATAATATAAACAATGCAGACTCCTAAACTCTGCTGGCAGGCATGTGAATCAGCACAGCTATGGAAAACATGTTGATGAGAGCTTATAAAATTGACAGGTGAAAACCATATGGTCCAATAATTCCAATCCTAGAGAGACAATTGTGTACAGATACCATGAAATATGTACAAGAATAACTTGCTGCATTGTTTATAAAAGCAAGGACTGGAAACAATTCAAATATCCATTATGTGGAGAAGGAATAAATGAATAAATGATATTTCACAACAAGAAATATTGTTTAGCAATAAACAATATATACTGCACACAACAACACGAACGACTTTTAAAAACATTACTGAATGAGAAGAGCCAATTGCAGAAGAAGAATCAAAATAGAATGGAGATAGCATGGAAATAGAATTCGGGAATAGCACGTAGCATCACTAAAGACATTAGTGTGGATTTAATTCTAATTGAACCAGAACCCCTCTTGGAAAAAGGGTTCATGATGTATTTTTTATTATATATAAAAAATGTGAAAAATATATATACATATATAATATGTATTATATGTTAATTATATATATGTGAAATATATAACATATGTATATATATTTCACACATATTTTAGCTATCAAATATTACGTACTAAGGCTCGGTGCCTATAGCTCAACCGGCTAAGGCGCCAGCCACGTACACCTAAGGTGGCGGGTTCGAATCCCCAGCCCGGACCCGCCAAGCAACAATGACGGCTGCAACCAAAAAATAGCCGGGCGTTGTGGCGGGCGCCTTTGGTCCCAGCTACTTGGGAGGCGGAGGCAGGAGACTCGCTTGAGCCCTGGAATTGGAGGTTGCTGTGAGCTGTAATGCCATGGCACTCTGCCCAGGGGGACAGCTTGAGGCTCTGTCTAAAAAAAAAAAAAAAAAAAAAAAATATTACGTACTAAGAGTATGAAAGTATCTTTATAGAAAACATTCAGCATAGAAAAATTACTCTGGCTGTTGTGAGAATAATGAATTGGAGTAGAGAAAGACGGGAGGCCGGGGATTAATTAGGAGCTTCCTGTCATGCTGAAAAAAACGGTGTTTTCAGCTAAGCAGTGGTGTGAGTCTGGAGAAAGGATGAATGGATTTCCCCAATGAGTGGGATCATTGAATTGTCGACTCATGTTTTGGCTTGAAAAGTAAATGAGCCTCCCATGTATGCCTTGTTCGTTCATTTACTCATTAAATCAAATATTTATGGGGAGTCAAAATTAATTTAAGCACATAGAAAAACTTGCTAAGAGGTCGCCAATAAGTGTTCAGGGAGAAATAAATATGCAAACAGTTTGGAAGAAAACTGGAAGCAGGAGCTGCTGGCTGCTTCACTAATTGATTGGTCAGTTCCCACTATGGCTGTTTATAATTAGGAGGGCAAAGGAGAGTCAGGGCAAGTGGGCAGCTGGGGATCTTAAACTGACCAGTATCAGTAATAACTGTGGCCTAGGAAGACGTTAAGGGTCAGAGTACGTGCATGTGGGAAGCTTGGGGGAAGGGAGGAGGGAGGGGCTCATTTGCTCAGAACCTGCCAAGCAGAAAATAATCAGCACACCGTGTTGGAAAATAATTTCTATCTACCTTCAAGGAAGCACAAGTAAGTTAATAGAACATTAACTTGTTGAAGTTAGTAGAACATTAATAGATTAAAAGAAAAATATTTTTTCAGGACTTATGTAGACAAATGAATCTCAAACTTTATTGTGCATACAGATCACCCAGGGATCTTATACGAATGTAGTTTCTGGTTTCGAGTCTCTGGCATGGGTCTTAGGATTCAGCCTTTTTTCTTGCCTTCTTTTATTATTTGTATAAATGTAAGGGTACAAGCACAATTTTATTGCACTGACATTGCACACCTAAAAATACATCCATTGTACTCATTTAGTGATTTCTTACAGCCCACCTCCTCCCTGTGAAATCACATCGTTTACAGCAACATAGATGGAACTAGAGGCTATTATCTTAAACATCGCAGAAACAGAGTCAAATACCTCATGTTCTCACTTTTAAGTGGGAGCTAAATAATGTGTACACAGGGACTTAGTGCATGGGATGATAGGCATTGTATAATAATAATTCTTTAAAGCTGTTTTTAACTCTTTAAGGGTCAATAAATAACTGAAAATGTATCGATCCTTTCCCCCAAATTCCACATCATAGAGCATTCTTTGATACTTTACCACTTAACAGTTTGTCCACAGGGAATGGGCTGCTTTGTATTTAGGAATTTTGGTACAAGGCCACCTTCGGAAAAGCCAGAATGACAGAGGGCAGAAAGTGTCTTCCTTTATGTCAGAGAAAAACATTTAAGTTTCAAGTACCTTTATCCTGAATGACGTTTTTTTTCCCCTAGCATCTTTGATAGATAAATTGGTATAATTTCCACCTTGCCACCAGAAATAGTCTTTCTTGACAGGAGTGCATGACTGCACAGCAGCCTTGACAGAAGCCTAAGTTTACTAGTATGGGGCAGAATGCGGGGGACCAGGCTGAGCACAGGATTCTTGGATGTGAAGGCCAGAAGTTGCCAAATTCCTTCATGAGAATTTGATCCTACATTGGACTGAAGACTTCATATATCAGTCCTGATTACGGAGTAATACTAACTTTTGCACATACTTATCTGAGAAACAAAGATACCAGCAACGTGTGTTAGGTGCTTCAGGGGTCAAGGGAGAACATTACCAGAGGCTTCACAGCAAAGGAGACTATTTAGCTTGCAGTTGAAGGATGAGAGCACTCTATGTGAGTTGGAACTGGTATTCTAGTCAGAGGAAAACCTTAGATGGAGGCTCAGCACCTGTAGCACAGTAGTTACGGCGCCAGCCACACACACCAAGGCTAGTGGGTTCAAATCCGGCCCAAGTCAGCTAAACAACAATGACAACTGCACAAAAAATAGCCAGGCATTGTGACAGGCACCTGTAGTCCCAGCTACTTGGGAGGCTGAGGCAAGAGAATCACTTAAGCCCAAGAGTTTGAGGTTGCTGTGAGCTCTTGATACTGGAAAAGTGGCACCCCAGCCAGCTCAGCAAAGCAGGCTGGGGGACCTGCCACCTCTGTCTTGGTGGCAGCAGCCAGCAAAGGAACTGGCAGGCTGGAGCAAGCAGGGGAGCTTCCCTCCCCCACCAGAGGCTCCAGTAGAGCGACGCTAGAGGACCTGCCGGCTCTGCCGCACAGAAACCAGCAAGCTGGAGCAAAAGGGAGAGCTTTCCTCTCCCACTCCAGGTTCCAGTAACAAAAAAGACCTGGCCGATCAGGGGAAAACACTAGTGATTCCTCCAGTGCATCCATGATTGGTCCATTTTCAATCCTGCTCCTGACTGGTCTATTTTATAGACCAATCAGCTAAGCTCTCAGCTCATTGGATAACTGCCCCTATATAAACCCCTGAGCAGAGAGCTTAGGGGCAGATCATGGGAGATTGTTAAGGAAGATAGAGCAGAAGATCAAGACTTCAGCAGATTGTTGCTGACCTTTAAGGAAGAGAGAGCAGAAGAGCAAAGACCTCAGCAGATTGCTGCAGACCTCTGAGGGAGAGAGAGCAGAAGAGGAAGAGCTGTAACACTTATATCCTGCTCTGCAAGGAAGCTTGGCTCTTTGTAAGAGCTGTAACATTTGCATCCTGCTCTGCAAGGAGGTTTGGCTCTTTGTAAGAGCTGTGACACTTATACCCTGCTCTATAAGGAGGTTTGGCTCTTTGTAAGAGCTGTGA